TTTATGCATTGAATTTTATAAAAGTTTTTGGGCTTTTCTTAGTGCTGTATAAGGCCTTCGGAGAGAGCTTTTCCATGGGGTGTCTCTCTCTCTCCCACTGTCTAAATTTTTGCTTTTCCATCTGCCGTTGTTGTTTTGTCAAGCTTGAGTTGGCCAGTTAATTAATAACAAGAGCTCGAGAGTGATTTTGGATCTCAGAGTTGTTTTAGCCGCGTTGCCATTTGGACGTCGCCGCATTATTCGCTTACCTTGCCAGCATTACATCGCGTCCTACCCGCAATTGAAAGAAAATAAAAAACAGCAAAAGTCGCAACATAAAGTAAACAACCCTCCTTGCTTTGCCTCCTCACTCCGCCACACCACCAATTCCCCCTGCCGCCCGCTTCGTTTTTGGCCAAAATTGCAAAAAAAAAGTTGGTCTACAGTGAAACGTGAAATCTCTTATTTTAACTTTGCCGAACAACAACAACAGCAACGAAACAACATTAAATATCTCTGTGCACAATTCGAGGCGTATATTTCTTTGAAATTGTTTGTGTTCGGGTAAGTTGCGTTTTACATTATGCTCCATGGAAAGCAGATTTTGGGCATTGTATTTGAAGATATATGTATATATTTTGTTACTTTTTATTTTTACCTTTGGCTAGTGCGCATGCGCAGCCGAGTTGACACACTTTCCACTGACTCCACCTGGCCGCTGTGCTTACCTGCCACAAGGCAAACTTATGGCGCTCTAGCTTTTGGCCATAAAAACAATTACCACTTGCTTTTGCCTGCTGACGTTTGCTGCATTTCGTCAGCGCGTGTGGCTCTGTAATAACCGAAAGAAAACTCCCCTCCTATCCAAAATAACAGAGGTATCATAATATATCCATAACTCTGTGTGATCTTCGGTAGCTGATCATACTCTGGGGGGAGGGTTAGGTTAAGTTAAGTGGAAATTTGCTGGAGGCAGTTGAGGGGGCGGTTGGGAAATTACACCATCGTTTAAGTGTGTGAAAATGTGAGCTTACCGTCAGCGTATTATGTTGTGTTAAATGACTCATTTTAAGAGATAATAAAATGACACTAAATTGTATTGTATTTTAACGAAAAAGTGCGGTTTCAAGTGCCAAAAGGGCGTTGAGGTGGGATGTTTATTATAATAGAGGTGGCATCTTCAATACTTGAGGTGATATTTAATGTAGTTAAGCAATTGTTTGCTATTTGAAACAGTTATTTTGATATAATTTAAATAATTAATCATTTAAATCTATTAAATCCATAGTTAAGCTGTAGTGGGTTTAAAGATGAAATAATTAAAGCAAAATAAGGTGGCAGACAGATAAAATGTTGAACTAAATATTAAGGCTGAGATGAGCTTGCAAAACCTTCTAAGAATTTACTTAAAAATTAATAATGAAGGTAGGGAAATTAAAGTAAGATTTATTTTGAGAGAAATTATATAAAGTGGAAAAATAATGTATACCTAAAAATTTTTAGCTAGAGCTAAATATATATACAATATATAACAATAATAATTAATACAAAATATAACAATAATATTAATTTTTATACTCTATTAACTGAATTTTTCTTGACAAATAGATAATATTTATTACTTTAATGAGTTCTTCATGAAGCTTCTTTAAATTATTTAATTTAATTTAATTTAATTTAACCTATGATACTTTTGGGAGCTCTTTGGTTGGGGTTTTTTCTTATGTTATTTCCGTCTGTCAATTAATTAAAAATACCAAGAATATTTTTTTCTATACCCTTTTAGGTGAATTTTTATATTGTGTTTAATTTCGTGGGTTTCTTCATAAACCTTTGTTTTGGTTAATTATTTAATCCATCGACCTGTAACTTTAAGGTTTTCGACTGTCAATTAATAACAAAATTATCAAGAATATTAGTTTCTATACCCTATTAGTTAGATTTTTTATATTTAGTTAAAATATCTATTGTATCAGCGTGTCTCTTTATAGCTTTTCTTTCGTTAATTATTTAACCTATCGACCTAAAACTTTCAGTAGCTCTGGAAAGAGGCTTGTCCTTGCTCGTTTCACTTAAAAAACACCGACTGTCACCTCTACTCTTAATGCATGCAAATGTAACCCTCAATTGAAATGCAAATTGTGGCATCATAGAGTTGTCCCATTCGCACTCTGCACTTACTACGGTCTGATTTTAATTTCGATCGATTCACGGGATCGATGGTCGTCGATTGGGGTTCATAAATATTTCAGACACCAATCAGCAGAGTCACTGAGCAATGAAAACGTATGCTTCTATTGCCACCCAAAATAAAACAACGTTGTTTCGAGTGTTTTTCTTTTTTATTTTAATTGAATTACAAGCCACAGTTCACTTACCTACGATTTTATTTGGTGTTTGGGTAACTAATTAGAGTCTTACAGCCGAGAATTCTATTTCCACATATATGTACATATAGTATAAAGTGAGGTATAGTAGTGACAAGTGACCTTGCCGATCGGAACGAAGAGTCACCGAGAAATAAGTGAACTCAAAACCTGTTAAACTTCTTTTTTCCGAGCGAGTGTGTGTGGGCACGAAATTTACCCAAATTGTTAACATTTATCAAGTGAAGGATACCCAAAGAGACTTGCGAAAAAATACAAAAAGCCGTTATTGAATCTGAAAATTTACATATTTTTTGTGTATTTTCTGAATACAACAGAAGCAACAGCAGCAGCGGTTTGAATTGTACTTGGAACTGAAGGCGATTTTTATAGCCGCCGATCGAAGCGAGTCGCTTGATTTTGGCATTGTGAAAGAAACTGAAACCGGCTATTCCTGCTTCTCTAGAATGATACGAGTACGATTTATATTTATATATATATAAGTATATATCTTATTTTTTGCTCTGACAAGCCGGTTCAGTGGGTGAGTCAAAGAATTTTCGGGGGTTGTAATGATATAGGTGTAAAGTTTACAGACAGTTTTGGCAGTGCAATGAGTTATTGCCCGGTGTTGTCCTAGATCAGGTTATTTTTTAATAAATTAAATAAGAAGTGGGAGAATAAATTTACACTTTAGATACTAGATAAAATTATATGAATTTTTAACAAAGAAATTAAAGGTTTCTTTATAAATATATAGGTTTTTGTTCAATAAACAGCAATTTTATGAAAGATTTCTCTACATACTGATACAGTTTGCTCAATAAACATTATTATTTTAGGTTTTTTTAAGGAACCTTTATATAACCATAAATATTTATTAAGTAAACATCTTTATTTTTTATGTGAAGCTGTTTTAAATATAGTCAGTTACATTTTCGCAATATACATATTCAAGTCTTAACTTCTCATAGCTTAAACCTGTTTTTACACATATAAATGTAATAAGCAACCATTTTTAATTACTGATTATAATTAGCATTCGAATGTATGTACAAATAGCATTTTAATTATATTTTGTATCCATTACCATTGTTTATTCAATTAATAATATTTTTACAGTGCTATGTCGACATTAAGTAAAGAGTTTTTTAACATCTTAAGGACTCTTTAAAGTTTTACTATAATTGCTGTAGCAAATAATGTAATGTCTTAATAAATCTACACTAAATTTTCACATAATCAGCTAACTTGATTTTATGAAATAACAACACAAAATAATAGTAATAAAAAATGTACCTGACTTTCTATGGCTGCAATTTCGATATGTTCAATGACTGCAATTTTTAAAATGATCCCCATAAATGTAATATTATTTTGATGGATTTTTTTATATGGTTCAGCGGATCAATTGCAAATTACTTGAACGAATTTAATGGTTAACACGATCTTTACTGTGTTTATTTTTTTAATTCAATAAAAATCTTTTTGGTCTTTGATACAAATAATCGAAGTGTATATAATTAAGTGAATTTAAAAGGTTATTTTCCATCTTAACTAGAAATTCTGGATTTTCCCTGCCTTTAAGTAAATTATTACCAATTTGCATTTTATGTTTTTTAATCACTTTCATGGATTGCCTCGCTAGCCGGCTAATTGCTAAGGAATCGCAGCAGACTTTGAGAATATAAATTGTTATTCAAAGCACGTAATTAATATATTTATATGTACATTAGACTTTTGTTCTAAGCTGACATTGCTGTATATATTCATTATAAATAAACGGGATTGACCCATTTAATAGTCAGGGGCGAATACGAGTTGTAAATATATATTAGCCTCATCAACTAATCCATTGTCTAAATGTTCCAGTTTCAATTAGCTATTCAAACATTAAACGTGATTAATTTTTATAGTACTAGCTTCATTTTATGGGGCATATTTATTTGTTAAATGGTTTTTTTCTGAAGCTTGAAGTACATAGAAATAATATAAACATTTCGCTTTTATATTAAACATCAATTATATATTTATTATTTCCAATGAGGGTATAATGTTGGATTTTTTAATAAACTCCTGAGGGTATTTATAGCTTCGGATTGCATTTAGTTCCGCCAAGACTTGCTTTGTCATCTGTTGTAAACGATAAAAAAGAAAAAACGAGCAAAAAAACTTGTAATTTGCATTTAATAGTCAAGAGCTTGTTGATCGAAATGATCATTTTTCATATGACTTGTTTATTTATGCATATCATGCTGGCTTTATTTCAAAGTGCATTTCAAATTTAATGGTCGCTTTGTTTCGCTTATTTTTATTTATTATTATTTTTTGTAGTAGAAGTTAACAAGGAATTGATTAGACAGCCGCAGTTTTTTTTCGGGATTTATCTGTACTGTGTGCACTAATTTTATACAATAATCGCCTACTTATATGGGTGGACATAACCCGATTAGACTTTCGAAGACTTAATTTTGAATTCCAGTTCCTTTGTTTTTCTACTCTTTTGTTTGCCGATACCAGTTATCAGCTTCTCTCTACTGGCATTATACTCACCCTCAGATTGATAGCTAAATATATACATATATATAATTGCACTTCGCATTATGAGTCCACAATTTCCGGATACAAAAGCAGCTCCATTTCAATTCGGTTTGCGATCAGAGAAAGGCCACAAAAGTTCAGCGGAATTCAGTGAATACAATACAATTATTGAGGTAGGTGAAGTGGTGCCACATAATGCCAGTTATTAAAGGTGTATCTCTGGATATAGTAGGTAATTATTGCTTACGTCATATATTGATTGTCAGCCGGTTGTTTTCCCCCGTGAAAACTTCTGAATCTGCCTGAAACAACATCCGGTGGATTGCCATCTCAGTACTTACTTTGTTGGGGTCATAAAACAGTAAACAGGGCTTACAATCGAGCTTATATACCGGCTTATTGTTGAAAACTTGTTTAAGGTGTTCCTGAGACTTTCCTGATTTTAATTGAAATTGTGCAACTACAAATTTTACGTTTATAAGTAAATATAAACAGTCATCGGCGGAATTTGACCAAATAAACAAATTGCTGTGTAAAGTTTACAAGCTAATATTGCAAAAAAAAATATTTGTAATTGAATAGTTGTTCAAAGGTCTTAAGACTTTCCTGATTTGAAGTGGAATTTTATGATTACACTGTTAAAAATAATAAAAGAAAGAAAGGTATAGGTAAATTTCGAACTTTTAAATATTTAAAATATCAATATATAAATGCTTAAGGTATTAATTTCGAAGCACAATTTTTTGCGATATATTATATGTAAATTTTAAGACCGTATTTATATCCTTAATAAGTGTTCTGATTTTACAATTATACCCATATTTTATAGATAATTTATAAGACCTTGCATAATTTACAAACCCGATTCTTTTCAAGTAATTTTCCTTTCATAAATTCCAAGAATATTTTTCCATCTTTCCTTTTGCTTTCAATGGAAATATTTCAATCATTAAACTCGTTTAAAAAAGTTCAAGTTCATTCAAAAAGGAATCGCAACTGCAATCAACTTAAAGTCCTCTTCAAGTTCAGCCTACATATATGTATGTATATAAAACAAGAAAGGAAGTTAACTTCGCCACGCCGAAGTTTATATACATTGCATATAGAACTTCTATGACTAGGAATCCCTACAATATAAATTATATATATTTATGATTAAAAACAATGAAGTAACACCTGTTTTCATTTCATTCATCTAAACATATTTATATTTGCAGTTCACAGATTTGCATTTTTCCTCTACATCAAACGATCGTTTGTATGGCACAGTCGTCCGATTTCATGAAATTTTACCTCAAACTTGATGAAAATCTGTTGAAAACTGAAAATGTTATAATTTATTTTGTAAAAATTTTCCGGTCATTCCAATGGCAGCTATATGATATAGTCGTCCGTTCCGACATATATACGAGTGAGAGTATATAGAAGGCTAACTACAAAGTTTCATTCAGATAGCTTCAAAACTGAGAGACTAGTTTGGGTAGAAACGGACAGATGGACAGACGGACAGACGGACATGGCTAGATCGACTCGGCTGTTGATCCTGATCAAGAATATATATACTTTATATAGTCGGAGGTGCTTCCTTCACTGCGTTGCAAACTTCAGACTGAAATTATAATACCCTGCAAGGGTATAAAAAAAGAAAAGGAAACAAATAAGGAAAAAAAATCCTAAATAGGCTTATATTAGCAAGCTTAAAATCCTTATTTTTTGAGCGGGTTTTTGTGTGAAGAATTACCTTTGCAAAAATTATATACAAGCATTGCTTGAAATATGTTAACTTCCTGTTACTTAAAAGCATACCAATTCTTAAAAATTTGCTTTACAAATATAGATCAACTTATTTTAATATATATTTCATATTGAGCAGTTTCGATCATCACCACTGTTGTGTTCTTTGTTTAGTAAGTTGTGCTGAATAAACTATTTTCGGGAGTTAAGTATACTTTACTATAAAAAATAAATGACACCATATCTCCGTTCGTCATGATCAACACGGCTCTTAAAGGGAGCTTGGAAGACTTTTCGTGATCAATAATAAGCTAGTCAACACGGCCAAGGGTATGGTAATTAAACAATAATTTAATATAAACCATATTTTCATGTATCTTGGCTTTTTTGGGCCTTGTTTTGGTTTCAATTATCAAGAGATATTTTATTAACGTCCTACCTTAATTAAGAAAACAATAATTTTTATGATTGCCACATCCACTTGATCAAAGTCTATCAACCACCAAGCACTAGATTAGTAATTTATATAAAAAACACACAAAAAGAAGAAGAAAACTAAACTTCCTCTAGCTAGGGCCTTGCTTAAGTATAAGACTTGAGAATCGCAGAGGAGAGCGCTCTATGTACCAAATAGTTAAACAAAGCCTATCTTTCAGTCGAAAGCTTGAAACTTAGTGATGGAGTCATTTCCGATCCTATTATTCATATATATTCTTGATCAGCATCAACAGCCGACTCGATCTAGCCATGGTTGCCACATCCACTTGATCAAAGTCTATCAACCACCAAGCACTAAATTAGTAATTTATATAAAAGAAGAAGAAGAAAACTAAACTTCCTCTAGCTAGGACCTTGCTTAAGTATAAGACTTGAGAATCGCAGAGGAGAGCGCTCTATGTACCAAATAATTAAGCAAAGCCTATCTTTCAGTCGAAAGCTTGAAACTTATTGAAGGAGTCATTTCCGATCTTATTAATCATATATATTCTTGATCGGCATCAACAGCCGAATCGATCTAGCCAGGTCCGGCATAAATTTAATTTTTTCAAATTTTTGACAATTTTAAATTTTTATAAGGGGTATCGTTAAAATGGTGAAAAATTGACGAATATTTGAATTGTTTTTTATTTTTAAATTGAGTATGCAGATTTGTTACCCTAATAAAAACTGAAATTAATGCATTTTTGGCTTAGTTGTGATATATTTAATATTTGACCTCTTAATACTTAGCTAACTTCAAAGGTATTAAGAAAATTATTCATGTTTTTTTTGTATATAAAATAAGTTTTTAATATATGATTAGTGTACTTACCTTGAACTTCTATGACTAGGAATCCCTACAATATAAATTATATATATTTATGATTAAAAACAATGAAGTAACACCTGTTTTCATTTCATTCACCTAAGCATATTATATTTGCAGTTCACAGAATTGCATTTTTCCTCTACACCAAACGATCGTTTGTTTGGCACCTATATGATACAGTCGTCCGATTTTCATAATATTTTACACAAAATTTAAGACTATATAAAATGGCTACACCTCAAACTTGATGATCTGTTTAAAACTGAAATAGTTGTATACATTTCTCGATCGTTCCTATGGGAGCTATTTGATATAGTAGTTTGATTTTCATAAAATTTTACACAGAATTGTAGAGTATAATAAAATGGCTATATCTCAAATTTGATAAAAATCTGCTGAAAACTGAAAATGTTATAATTTTTTTTTTTATATGGTCGGAGGTGCTCCTTCACTGCGTGCTGTCCACGCGTGCAAACTTCTGACTGAAATTATAATACCCTGCAAGGGTATAAAAATAAACTTGTATAAAGACAATAACCTGATTCAATGAATGCTGAATCACTGTGACTTACCTTTGTTCAGAGAGTGACTTAAAATAAGTACTATATTTTGTCCAAGTGGAGAAACGCCAAGAGAATTATTTAAACTTGGTGATCAAAGATCAGTTCTTGGTAATTAGCACCTATTCCAACTCGTCTGATGAGGCCATAAAAACTAAACAGAAAACAATGTGTTTTCTTTAGAGTGACTGTGATAAACAAATTAACTTGAATAGAGTAGAAAACTTAAACTAAATTGCCCCAACTTGACGATCTTTATATTTAAGTAATTTTTGCACATTACAACCTGATATTAACCCTTTTTTAGAGCAATTTACTTGACATTTTGCATGCGGTTAATTGGACATTACGTGACACACACGAAAACCTGTGTCGAGAAAAACTGTCTCAAAACTAAGATTACTCTGAGTTGTTTTACTTTATTTTCGCATGTCACACCCAAATCTACTGTCACTATATTTTTGTTGTATTTTATTTAATTGGATTTTACAACACCCAAAGAGAAGATTGACCAAGAAATTAGTATGCGCATAAATTTTTGGGCTGTTGAACTCCATGGCGAAGCACAAAAGCCCAAAAGTAAATACAGAGGCATAATTTACCCAAGATTCATTGACGAAATTTCTGGAAATCAACGAAAAATCACATAAAGCCTCCATCGTGGCCAGAATGACAAAACAGAAATGTCCACCGTTTTTCTTTCAGCTCCAATTTAATGTATCCACCAATCTCTGCACTTGGCCTTGACTTTTACCTTCATTCGCGGCGGCATTCGCTATCAAAAAATACAAATAAAAACTTACTAATTGCTTTGGTTCATAAGAGCCACCGTAAATCAGATTTAATGGTCAGCGACATGTACTCTAAATTAACCAGATTCTGTAAATTTTCAATCTCGATTTCGTGTCCAAGTTTTGTAGTTTTTATTGCCATTGTCAAGTCCTTCATGACAGGGCATAGATCACCGCCGACTAACAGTTTGCTACGTCATTGAGCGGATTTTTTATACCAATTTTTCGTTTCTTTTTTTTTTTTTATTATGATTTTTCGATTTTGTTTTGCTAGCCAAGGTGTTGCCAAGTCGTCTGCGAGCCAAAGGGGCGGCGCACACGTTTTGGCTTAGGCAGACAAAAACCATTTAAAACTAAATAAAATGGACAGGAAGTGTGTGATATGACATACTGAACAATGGAGACCCTCACTAGAAATGTAGTATTAAAAAATAATATGAAAAACGTTACTTTTTATAGTAAATTAATTAAAATTAATAATAAACGTGCTGTTGTCATTGTTATGGAACCTCTGCAACATCAATATGTTGCTAGCATTAATAAATGTTGCTAAGCATGTTCTCAGCAACAATTGCATTGATGTATTTTCTTGGGCATTTTTCGCCGTGTTAGATTAAAGTTTAAGCACCATTTTTTCTATTATTTCCATTCACTTTTAATTCGTTAAAAAAAAGCAGTAGTTATAATTTAAAGTGTTCTTCAAAGTTATTTATAGTTATAATTAAAGTGTCTTCACCTTCGTGACTCTTGATGTGCTTTAAATTATTAATTTAAAAATACATATATATGTTCCATGACCCAAACAATCTCGTTCTAATGATTTTGACAATGACCTAAGAAGTGTTCAAACACCCTGACCGAATTGCATTAACCTTTGCGGTTAGGGTATCCACACCATATTCACATCGACAACCATCGACTTTAGCCATTGAACGCACGTTGTAGGACCAGTTTTGGGCACTATTGTCTAGCATCTATAGTCTATCTGCGATATATATGTTTATAAGTTTCTATATATAAATTTACCTGTTTGTCAGGCGGCTTCTTCTCTTCCGTTGTGGCGATTTTGCGGTGACTTTTGCTAATGAAGATCAGACATTGAGTCATACAAAAAGTTAAGACACACGACAAGAAATTTTGATAAAATGAATATCTAAATTTAAAATTAATATAGAAAGTATTAAATATTATTTTAAATATTTTAGAATAACAAATGAATACTCCCTTATAATTTTAATTTATAAGCAATACCAATTCTATTTTACTTATATTTATAATTACCAGTTCGATCATCTAAAAGCTCCATTTAATAAACCAAAAAAGATTAATAGTAAATATTTTGTATCAACTTTATATAGCTAGGAAATAATATAAATTTGACCCTCATTCTATGTCTATTTTTTTTGTCGGGTGTAGTATCTAAAATATGTATAAATCCATATACTTTGGACAGTTTCCATTGGAGCAAGGCATTGAACTGTTGCCGCTTTTTGCTTTGGCTTTTGCTTTCGGCCAAGCTGCGGAAGTAACCCAGTTGTGCCAATCGCATTGAGGAAACGCTTGCCAAACCACTCAAAATGTTTGAGTCGAGACCTAAACAATTTTATTCTCGTTTGCAGCTTGAGCCGGTGAACATCTAGCGGATATCACGGTTTGCAGAACGCATCAGTAGATACATCACATATATAGAACTATATCATCATGGGCAAGGCGGATTGCATTAGTTACGATGAGCAGAAGGTGCCTACATTGATCTGGGCTCGGCTCAGATCCGTATGGACAAGGATCAGGCCCCAGAATGGGCTTTGAAGAAGGCACAGGACGAGCTGCGTGAGGTGCCCGGTGTCAAGGAGCAGGCAATCAAGGAGCTCAAGGAACTTATACAAAGTGAGTGGAAAGATTCAGTGAAATGGAGCTACTTTGTGCCTTAACAAATATAATAATTAATAAAAAATTTATTTATTATAGATGAAAAGTACCTGAACCTGCCGCTGGATGATGAGTACATGATGATGTTCCTGCGTCCTTGCCATTACTATCCAGAGAGTGCTTTGAAAAGGGTGAGTTTTTGAAGTGGAAAATCTATTTCTTTTTTTGTTTTAAATTTAAAAATAAAATCAAAAGCTAAAGGAATAATTTAAATTACATTTTCAAAAAGAATAAACCAAAAATCTAGTTAAACATTTAAAGCTAACACACTTTTAAGTATCATTAAAAAAATGTCTGGGTATTTTTAATTTGTTGTTTCACCTTTAAATATTTTAATGAATCTTCTCTTAAATGTACTAAGCTTCTTTATAAATCTCTTAATTACTAATTTAACCTTTATTATCTATACTTTCAGCTCAAGAACTTTTATCACATGAAACTTAAATATGGAAATGCTTGCGAGAATATAATTCCCGGCAAATTGCGTAATGTTTTCGAGGCAAATATTCTGAATTTGCTGCCCCAAAGAGATCAACATGGTCGCCGACTTTTGGTGCTAGAAGCAGGCAGTAAGTTCAAGCTTTATTATTAACAAAAGTAAATATTAACAATTAAATATATAATCCAGAAAAATGGAAGCCTTCCCAAGTGCCGCTGGTGGATCTATTCCGTGGATTCAGCTGACTGTTTGGGTTCCATGGTGGAGCCGTATTCACAAATCTGCGGAGCTGTGGTTATTATCGATATGGAAGGTAATTTTCTTTGAAAAAAAATATACGACAGTCTTATATATTTATGGAGCTGGCTTATTATTATCTTGCAGGTCTGCCACTTAGCCACATTACACAATTTACACCATCATTTGCCGCCATGCTGCTGGATTACATTCAGGAATGTATATGCATGCGTCTGAAGGCGGTTCACATTGTGAATAACTCGTATATATTCAATATGCTCTTTGCCATATTCAAGCCATTCATTCGTGAAAAGCTGCGCAAAGGGTGAGTTACTTGCTAGTTTTATTTGTATATATTTTATTTATAATTAATTGTGTTTGTTAGATCTTCTTCCATGGTAAGGACTTCAAGTCCCTGATCTCTCACATTGAGGCCAGTGCCTTGCCGCCGAAATATGGTGGCTCTGCCACCTGGGAATTGCCACCTGGCAAAGTTCTTGGTGAATTCTTTGAATGCTATTCCAAGGACTATGAAAGTAAGTTAATTTATTAACTTTTTTAATATAATTTAACTAATTTTTTTAAATTTTTGATGTATTTTTAGTGGCTGACAGCTACGGCTATACCGAGGGCTATAAAATGAAGAAGTAATAGTACAAAAATTACTATTTACTGTACCTCCCTCAAATCCAAATCCAAGCCCAAGTCCTTTCCCTATTCGATTCGTATTTTAGTCACTTAAGTTGGGTCATTTGTGATATTGCAAATATTGTCGTACTTTAAGTCTTAGTCTCTTTGCCTTTAAATGTAAGATTTCGTAAAAAGTTAAAGCACAAAAAGATTGTAAATTCATGATCAAAGCCAAGGTTTTGATTAGGGGTTTCTAAGCATTAAATTTGATACTATATTTTTACTATATATATTTTCTATAATTGTTATTGAGATAATAAAGAGATGTAAAACATTTGTTGAAAAAAAGTAAATGTTTTTCGGTGAAATTTAAATATTTAATGCGTTGCTTTTGAATTTTTATAAAGTCTAAATTGGGGATAAATATCGACAGCAAACAATCGATTAATGTCGACATTAATCTCTATATTATTTATATATCCTTCAGATTTAATATCGATTTAGTATCGATTATTCAAAGTTAGTGTCACCCATAATCTAGAATTAAGCTGTGTTTAGCTTACTAAAAAGATCTTTGTGATATTTTAATATTTCAGCTACAATTTTTATATTAGCCCCGCAAAAACATTTTTTATCAAACATTTTAAAATCCCCCAATGAAAATCTCTAAAGTTTATATAAAATATTTAATTCGACACACTGTATGGGTCAAGAAAACACACATTTTAAATACAAAACATTTTTTTGTTTAACAACTAGGGAATGTAAAAAGAGTATTCGTTAGCTAAACGAAGATGAACTTCTGGGCTATCTAATCTTTGGCATAGGCACGGGGAATGGTTGGAATTTCGTTGGTTTCATTGTTTTTTTTTAGAGTGTCACTATACTAAATACTAAGACTAAAGCACTAGGACGGCTTAACTAGCTAGATAGATGGCCGGGATAATCTAATCACAGAGATTATCTACCGTTTAATCCTGTCTATTATCGCTGATCGCTGTGGACGCAGTGGCCACGCTTTCGCCTGTCTGCGATTTAATGATAATCGGCTTTCGTCCTTTTTCAAGGAGCGGCGAACTGTCCGGTGATCCTTTGGCACCCTTTTCGGCAGCGGAGACCTTGGCCTTGAGCTCCTCGGTACTGTTGAATTGAGAGCGACTTTGGAACTGGCCATTACTTTGCCCTGGGTCTTCAGCTCATATCGATGGCCTCGGCACCAGGACATCAGGTGCAATGCCGGTGCCCAGCAGAGAAGGATTAGTCCAGCGGCCAGGCAAATGCCGGCAAATATCTGACCCGACATCAGGACATGGGGAGCATCTTCAGTTGGTCGGCCATTTCTGGGGTCATCCTAACCTTCTGCTCGAACCAGATGAGCGGAAAGAATATCTTTGGAATGTCCGAGTACAGACCGATTCCATCGATGGGCTCCACCAGCATGTTCACCTGGAATCGGGCCGCCACCTCCAGGGGAATTCCCGTGGTGGGCTCCACCACCATGTAGAATTCATGATCCTCCTGCCGGGGATCCATGCCCTCCACCTGATCCACATAGTATTGATCGGCATTGAAGAAATGTGGATAGGACATGAACACGGGAGATCCAAAGCGGCAAGAGCTAATGTTCATCACACCCGAGGGCACACACTCGCCGCCACAATAGCAAAGGTTTTCGGGATATTGAGTGCCTGGAAAATAAATAAGAAATTAATTAGAAATAAAAACAATAATATAGGGGAGATTTATGTATTTATTATTTATATGTTCTTTATTTAGATATTGTTCTCTGGTTTTTCTTGTAATAATATAATATTGTAATGACCGTAAATAGTTTTCTCTGTGTCTTTCTCTTTCTCCGTAATTTTCTCTGTCCCTCTCTCCTCCCTCTTCTTCCCTCTCTCTCGCTCTCTTAACTCTATCATTTTCAGTATGCCTCTCTCTCTCTGTTTATCTCTAGAGGCACCCTTACGCTCTATCTCTCTCTGCTCAGCTCTAGAGGTATCCCTTTCACTCTCGCTCTCGCTCTCGCTCTCACTTTCTCTTTTCTCTTTACTCGGGAACTATAAATAGAGGCACTGCACTCGCGCTGCCCTCAGTCTGTACGTGGCCTTCACAGTGTTTGCATCTATGGTGATAGTGAAAGTGATTGCACTTCGACCTAATGGCCAATGCAATGCATCTATATAATTAAGAAATTGATAACTTCGATGATACCAAGAACAGCCTGATTAAAGTCACCAGGAATATTACTCTACAATGAGCAATGACAAAATAGGATAAGCATGTGGCCTCTACTGCGGTAAGTCTTAACCATGAAAATATATTATAGATGATATAGCAGGGATTAGAGTTAATTCTAAATTTCACCTTTTAATTAGCAATTAAATGTGTTTACTCAATGTCTAACACAAATACGTAAACAACAACTTAACGATTCAGTTTCAGATTTAATTATAAACAATTAAAAGTGTTACATTTTGACCTACGTCAACTGACTCTCAGTTAATCACAATTGCCACCTTATTAAATGGGTTTTATAGCATATAAAAATGTTGTAAAAAGTATAAAATGATTCCTAAAGTAACCCCTGATTATTCCCTATTAGATTTGTTACAACTTTCAAATTTATTCACCACAACTCACCATTATCCACTGAACGGGGTCCTCCAGAGAATTAAGTCCCTCCAAACCTTCAATTTCCAGGTTTCCACATAATCCAATGGAATCGTGCGGCACATGTCCGGCGTAAAGAGTCCGACACTATCACCTGGCTTCAGATGCTGTGGCTGGAACTCTCCGGCAGATCCATTGGTCATGCCACAATACGAGGAAAAGAATCCCGTGTGATTGACATAATTCCAAGAGCTCATCTGACCCAACTTGGCCAAGTGATCGGCGCCAGTGAAGACATTAAATACACCCGTGAGATCTGCACTTCCATTTCGTGTATAAAACCAGCCGAACTTGTCGAAGGGCACCTTAACGTCATCCCCGAAAATGGGCATGGCCATGGCCACGTCAATCATGGAATCACTGTATCCAGTAAACAAAAGTTCATCGACCGTTTTCTGGACGGACATCTCAGCGCCATACATCCTGAGTCCCACATCGACCATGGATCTCTTTACTGGTGGCCAGTGCTTGGCCGTGGCAGCTGCAGACTGAAAGTAAATTAATATAATTATTATTAAAATTAAATTCAAATTAAATAAGTTTAATTACTCACCAGAGCCACCGCATTGAGTTATAATCTCATCATCCAAACTTCCATTGCTGCCCTCCTCATCGAAGTAAAAAAGCTGAGCCGGCGATAAGTCACAGAGGCATTTTCCGGATGCCAGGCAATGTCCACCTTATTGGGTCTCTCGGTAAATTATAAGGACCCACCTGTTGCATAATGGGCTTTGTGGAAAAGTTACCATAATCCTCGGGATTCGTCCAGTTATAGAGATAAATGTCCAGACTTAGATCCAATGGGGGACTTTTCCAATTGTCAAAGACACGTGTGTCGGGTGCCAGAGCCATTTCCTGCCAAAAGAATAGAGGTTACAATTGGAATTAATTGAAAATCTCAACGAGTTTTCCTCGATCTCTGACTGGCACCAATTGAGGCGGCTGCTTTTCTTTTGATTACCCGCTAATCGAATGCAGCTGTTCTATTATTTAAAGTGGACTAACACATGGTGAACCTGAAGATGAACTTGAACGTGGACTAGATATTGATAGAAATGTGGAAATTACTTAAGAGAATTGAGTGGAATTAAATTTAAGAAGTACTGGAAAGGATTTATTTGTTTAGCTATTTTTACTATATTTTTATATAATTTTAACATAAAATCTTTAATCCAGATGGGAACTTTCAAGGCTGCTAATTAGGTTTATAATTAATCATTAACATAATATTCTATCTTAAACCTGGACTAGATCATAATATATTTATAATTTTATCCAGAAAAATATGAGTAAATTAATTCACGAAGTACTGGTAAGGATATTTTTGTTGAGCTATTAAATATATTGATATAAAAGCTTTCAACTTTAAGCAATAAATGCAATGAAGAGAAAGTTTCTAGGCTGCTTATTTACTTTATAATTAATCTGTAATTTTAATATACAATCTTTAACTTGTACTAAATTGTATCATAATTGACTGAAAATGAGGAGGAATTTAATTAAAGTAGTAAAAATACCATAAAAACCTTTAAATTTCAATTAATAAATTCAATAAAGAAAACGTTTTTAGGCTGCTGATTAGCTTTATAATTAATCGTAAATATTTGTTACTATTAAAACCTGAATTGTATGTTAAAATAAATCTCTAGTTTATGTTAATTTTTAGTTCCTTTATAGAAAGCTCAGTGATAGTTGTTATTTTTTTGAAGTTACCCTTGTCATTGGCTGCTAATTACTTGTTATTCCTGTAAAGTTACCCTTATCATTGGCTGTAAATTACCGTTTTCATAATCCAATCGAATAGATCCACCCAGAACATTCCGCACAATATGCCAAAAAGTCCCAGGCAGAAGCCAAAAATGCCGGTAATTAATTTGCGATTGCTCTTTTGGCCCCACATGGCGCTGTTTTGCGTTGGCATGGCTCACGCTGTGTGTAATGTTCTCTGTAATGATATGCAAGTTAATAATAACACCACACACTCTCACAAGTTTAGTGACTAATATAGAATACAGAAGTAATACGTAAATACACGATATGGATATTGTTTAGACTATGTCAGAAATAAGGTTCAGTGACAGGCAAACGAATAAACAAACAGTAGCAAGCTTCATAATATTTTATTATCTATTATAGAGTCTATGAGCTTCGGTATTTAATGACTTGTTGTTTGATTTGTTTATTATTGTTTATATTTTATATATTTATGCAATTATGAATAGTATATGAGAAATATATAAGAGTTTTCATGTTGCAAACATTATAAAATCAATTAGTTTGCTTTAATAAATTTTGTAAAATACAAACAACCTTATGAGAACATTTCTTAAATTGTATTATTTCATATAAATATTTAAAAAATTGTTTAAACATAACTAAGCTTCCATTAAAGTTAAATGAACAAATTAAATTGTGGTATACTTTTAGGGCTTATAATCAAAGTTAATGAAACAATTTAAAAATGTAAAATCACCTCCCCTCCATATAGTATGTATTAAATATATATTGAAAATTATATTGACACAAGTAACGAGAACAAAGACAGTTTTCAACAATGAGTAAAAGATAATAGGAAATATAAAATGAATAAAGTGCAGCCACGTTACTTTGTGACAAATTCCCTTTACCATTTATTTTATCAATATAATTGAATCAATTTAGGCAAAGCGTGACTCTAAATTGCTGTTTACACCGATGTAGAATGCGAGAATAATACAATACTAACCGCATCATATACATTTATACATATAAAACAAATATAATCGGATTCAATTTCAATGGTGATAATTACAACGATTCCCATGACACTCTCTGAGTTGGTGTTTTTTTTAATTAGTTATGATAGTCATTAGTGGGACTGGACATCAATTAAATAATGTTTGCACGTGGTATATTGAGAAGCTACATATATTATTATAAAAGTTTGGGAAAGTATCTAGCACGACCTATTATAAGGTCATTCAAAACAATAATAAACACGTGACTTTGAAATGAAATAAGATTTTATAAGTCATTCATAACAATTTAAAGAAAATTACATTTGGGTTCACGGTTTTCATTTTAAATATAGCAAGGGACAAACAAAGGATACTTGTACGTTTTTAAAGATTTGTTTTAAAAGATATATTTTTGTAAAAAGAATATTTCTTTAATCTTCTAAATTATTTAATATTATTTCTGTGAGGATAACAAGTCCACAAAGTAAGTTTAAGGATAATTTTATATAGATAGCGAGGTTAAGTAGTTTATTTCTTAAGAAAAAAGCTATTTCTCTCTGCTTTTCTTTGATTTTCATTAAATATTAATTGTACTTTATATATTTAATTTATTTATTAAATTCCCTTTTTACTGATCTCGCCTGTAAACCGATAAGCTGAACCGTTGATTCCCTTAGGTAAACAGACCCATGCGGAAGACATCGTAGATAATTGAGGAAATTGAACTGCACTGCACTTATCGCTTGTCAAAAACACATTGCTAGACAATTATGGGAACAATCTGCCCATCACCTCCTATATACATCAGCATATCAGCATAAAAATATACAAAAATTGAAGATATAAATAAGGGTACATATGTCCCAAGAAGTGTTCGCATCTCTGCGATATATCGTCATAATTGAGTCTATCAATTGACCCCACAGTGAGCTATGGTTGGGTCTTTGACACTTTCCGTTATTGCATATGAATACGAATACGATTCTATATATAAATATATATCAAGCATCATATCAAGCATCATATATAATGCTGATTCGGGAGCGTGTCAGCTCAGTCCTTGTGTCGGGTAAATTGATATGATTATGTCTTTTGAATGATGAATGACTGTCGTCGGGCATTTTGTCGGCGCCTTTTTATTGTCTTGACAATTGTGGTCACAGTGAGTTTTAATTGGAGTGGACATTGGACACAGGTGCATATCGTAGAGTTCATCCCCCGACAATTCTAAGCTGATTCAATTAGATCAAGAGCAGCCACAAGAGATTCATCACTGAATAATAATTGCCTTCAATTAAGTTTTAAAAATTTCCGGCAGACCGAGATATTTCATTCATTATTAAATTTACCATGCGTGTGTGGGTCTGTTGATCTTTATTTATTAATAACGTTTTGGTTCCCCAGAAAGCACTGAACGCTTTATGAAAATTCTATGCAAATGCAGAAGGAACACTGAACTCGTTAATAAAAAATCACAGTGAAAGTGAGCAATAAAAACGAATTAACTAAAAAAAACACACGTTGCAATCCATTAAGAATTTAGTTCAAAAGTGCACGTAACTTAAAATAAGTAAGAAAATTAAATTAGTAGCAGGAAGCAAACACTTATTAGTGGTTACTATAACGATTAACTGAGACATCCGCTTTAGTTAGAACTATCTGTGTTGGGTATATGATACTAAGAGATCTTATCTCATAACACCTACTCAGTTTTTCTAGATATTTCCCAATCCCTGGCATTTGACCACAAAACTCTGGCATTGAGATGCCACCACAAATCGCAGATTCGACGCAGTTTGTGTAAAAAGAGAACTTCTAGTTGCATTGGTTTTTTATTTTATTTTTTGCTTGAACGAGTTCTTTGATAATGAGCTATCCGCCTGCAATAGAATTCTCTCAACCTTCAATGGAGGAAATAAAAACAACAACAACAACAAAAACTATAAATAAATTATTGGTTTTGGTTCATTTGCAAATACAGTGTTTGTCTCAAATGGGCGTGTGAATTCGAAAATAAATTTGGTATTTTAGTCACACGCAACACTAATTAAAATTTGGTTTTAAATAAAGTGGAACTTAATGGTTATAAATCATCAATCACTCATCCCTGACTCACTTTAAACACTCGCTCACTAAATTAAGTGTGGGAAATAATAATTAAGTGACTATTGCTTAATTGATCACCAAAGCCCTCAGCCCTATTAAGGTATCGGTCTTTAAATATGCATCCAATTAATTCAATAAACTCAAGCTGCATTCTAACGGATTGTATGAGTAATTTACTTTTTAACAGGTGTTTTCATTGAAGATTTTGTAATTAACATGACACTAAAATTAACTAAAAGGTTTCGTAAACAAACAATAAATCAGCGTGCTTTTAAGTAGCTTTGTTTAACAATTTTACAAAGAAAATACAAATAGTATGTACCTTTTACATTGTTTAACTTAAATAAAGCCTGAGAAGTCTACAACTCAATGACTTGAACTTATGCCAGCCAATGGGTCGTATACATAATTTATTGTTAAGGGGAAAATATTTAAAATATACAAACAACTGGTGGTTTATTGCTTTAGCAAAGCAATCATTATTAAATATTTATATTTTTAAATGTATACAATGTTACTGTTAATAAAATGCAAAATGCAAGGCACTTAATAATGAGGCTCTGTTTATAGATTATTCTTAATTAAAAAATGTTAAATGTTAATTAAGTGTGAAGTAATAGTTTTTCTTTTCTAAGAAGATAAACACGCAACTGCAATTAACAGATATGAATTAATTTTCAATTGACTTCAACCTAAGATGGTCAACAGGTCGTATGCGTAACATGAGGGTTTTAGAGTATCTTTCAGTTAGAAAGTATTTTCTACAGGATAAGCAATAATGTTGCATAAGAATCACTGTTAAATATAATTAACGTACATATTAAAGGTACTTGCAAATGCCTTTGAAAACTGCAATCAATAAGTTTGAACTTGACCTGGCCCACGGGTCGTATGCGCACTTTGTTTCTGAGACGCTGTATGTAAATATATATTGAATATTTCGAATATTTATCAAAAACATCAACAGGTTGTGCTTGTCAGCCCTTTGTTTTGCATTTCATGGCTTTTATTTTCTTCCCCCAAAGCAAGGAAAATATAAATAAACACAATGAGAATCTATATACTATGGGTAAATGTGTATAAAAGTACTTGTGTCTGGTGACTGTTTTTCTTTCTTGTCGCGTTGATTTCATTTAATGGCCTGTAATCTTAATAAGTCCGCCGGCGATTAAACCAAATCAAGCCAATGCTTAAATCGTTAAAATGAAAAAATTTGAGATATGGGTTAAGGAAAGCATTTAATTTCCTGGTGCGTTCTATATACTATATATTTTATTTCTCACTTCCTTGCTATAGCCACACTCACTTGATTTTTATTTGCTAAATAGAAACAAATCACAGTTTTCTATTTCCAATATTTTTAACGCCTTCGTCGTCGGTTATTCCTTATCCTGCCCAGGAATTGAAATTCGAGAAGGATGTTTTGTGGACACAACGCTTGAGCACGTGGAGGATTCTCTTATTATTATTTTTTTTAGGTTCCGGAAAACTGGTCGCGGCTGGTGGGGAAAATGCGGAAAAGTCTGTATAAATTGCCGTACAATGGCACCGTTAAGCCCGGCGACGCGACATCGACTGTGCGGCGGATTCTCGGCGAACGGGACTCTATACGCTTGAGAGTCGCGGAGCGGCACAGAACGGCGCCACCGGCATTGGCGGCAGCGGCGTCTTATGGAGAGAGAGAGAGAGAGAGAGACTGAGGAGCGGTAAACCTGCAGGGCAGAGTAGAGCGGAGCGGTCATCGTTTTGTCCCTCTTACTTGGCGGCTCATGAATGACAGTCAAGTGCGGCACATATGAAAGTGCACTTAAAAAAATTATAGCTATAACTAAAATTAAACAAATATAAAAATATATAAATATATATATAAAATATTTCCCCTTCAATTTAGAAAATAGTTTTACATATTTTTATACCCTTTCGGAGTATTAGATTATTACTCAGAAGCTTATAATGATATGAAGGAGTCATTTGCGACCCTATAAATATTCTTTAATATATTCTTGATCAGCATCAACAGCCGAGTAGATCTAGTTATCTCAGACAGAAAAACATTAATATTAGAAATTTACAAATTTTTCGAAAATTTTATAAGGGGTTACATTGTCAAATGTGTCAAAAATTAATAACATTTTCAATTTCATTAATTTTTAAATAGAGTATACAGATACCAATAAAAACTAACATAGGAAAGCATTCCGAATTAAAATTAATCATTTTTTGGCATAGTTAAGAGTTTTTAATGTTTTGATTTGTTGAAAAAAAATGTCTTTCAAAATATGGATATATACCAATTTAAATATTTTGAATATTCTAAGATAAGTTATAATCGGTTTCCGATTGGTACCTTAAATTCAAATACAAACCTAAAGGGTATATTAATTTAGCTTTCCGACGTTAATGTTCTTTTTGCTTAAGAAATGTAAGAATTAATAAATGCCAATTTTAAATAAAAATTTCTATATAGAACTTATAGATTTTTAGTAATTTGTTTATTTGGGAGAGAGTCCTGGCAGAACTTTTCATTTTAGCTACGTTAAAAAGAGTTTTTTACCATATATTAAAGTTTTTCCAAAGCATTAATAATCTTATATATGCATAATATATGCTTTAAAGAGAACCCCCACTAATATTTCTAAAAAAAATATTTATTTATACTTTAAGTTATTTCTAATGTGTTTTTATATTTTTTATGAGCTTCCCCCTTTTTTTTGTGTACAAATGAAAATGGGCTTGAGAAGAGCGCGAAAGTCTCTTGTGTTTGTGTGTGTACGAGTGTGTGTGTGTGTGTGTGAGGGTGTTTGGGTTAATTTGCGCTTGGACTTCCATAGTTTTGCCATTGAATTTTAAATTAAACTATATGAAATCTGAAGCGTAAGTATGACTTTCAAACTGCATTCAAATGCCGGAATTGTGAGATAAATTATTCCTTAAAAAAAAGTATAAATATTTAAATGGGAAATACTTATCTCAAAACTGTCTGGAAATAATTTGTAAATTAACTTTTTTTTACTTTTTACAATACATTGCAGGTCAAGGGTTTAAAATAATGAAATCGGTAAACTGAAAACTTAATGAATATTTTATTTATTTATAATTCATGAAGATTTGAAATAAACTATCTTAAGAGTGTAACACAAATAAGCACTTAATCTTATTAATTTATAAGCTACTAAACCAATACCAGTTATTGTTTATTTAATTCTATATTCAAAATTACCAAAAGTATCATTTTCTAGATCTTATCGAACTCAACCATGGCTTAAAACTGGGTCATAGTTAACAGATGCACTTGGTTGTACTTAAAATTGAACGGATTTTCGCAAAATCCAACGGATGGCAAATGGAAAAGTAAACAAATCATAAAGTATAAACCAAAATTGATAACAAATTGTCGAAGTCTTATCAAGGCAGCTAATCGTGATGATTAGCACTGAGTGAACACACACCAAAGGCCTCAAACACATGTAAGCTGATCAAAGTATTCGACTTTTCCATTTCGCGTATTGTCGGGTAGTAACTCTCCCGGGCTCGAAAATCGAACCACTGAGGCAATAAAGCAATCAAGTGTCGTTATTTTAGCCGACTTTCCTTATTGGATTATTCGTTCTCTTCGCCACCGATATGTCTCGTGCGTATGCGGATTAGTGTTGAGTGTTTTAGTTGGGGCCAAAAGTCACTTAACGCCGGCCGGCGATTATGTTGCAATGTATGCAAAAGTGGAGCATATTCTGTAGCCTATGAGGGTGTGTTTTGGAATCGGGTCAGTTCGTCGTTTCTCTACTTTAAATTTGGGTCTGGGACAGGGCTTTCCTCTTGTAATACTTTTAGTGTTTGAGGGTAACGATTTCCCGCGATTCAAGCAGAGTTTGTCAGGTAGCGGTTGAGTGCCACAGCAGTCAGCTTTTAGATGGTTGCTTTCAATATTACGTATACGTAACGTAAGGCAAACTATCTTTTGTTGAATTTTAAATATAGTTTATAACATTTAAAGTGAAAACAAAACATTTTTTAATTGTTTTCTTTATATATAAATTTAAAAATATCAATATTTGTTATTATTCTTTTTGGATTGATCGATTTTATTATTGAAATATTGTTAAAATATACATATATAATGTACATAAAATACTTATTAAATTAAATAAATAGATGGAAACAAGTTAAATTATAAATTTGTATGGTTACTTTTTATTTAAATCATAAAAATCATACAACATTTGTATACTAAATTAAAATGATCATAAATGAAAGATTTCTCTTTAACCTAAATAAAATATAATTAATTGTGTTTCAAACATTTAATTTATCAAATGTGTCTTTATTTAAGGTGTTCTTCTTTGTACTATTTGTACGCATACTTGGCGTTGCTTAGAATATTTTACATTTTAATTATAAATAATAAATCATTTTATTTTTCTTGATTATTCCCCCACATGTATGGGGTGCGAATGATTTGTGGAATTGCCAGCGGTCTCTTCCAGATGATGTGTAAATCGAAATTGAATAAGGATAATGAGGTAGCAAGTGGCAGCACCACTAATCTGTAAATAAATATAAATTATTATTACAATTGAATTTAACAATCTTAGAAAAATAAGCTCACTGTAAAAATCAGAGTACGATCCAAACGAAACAAACCAGCGGCAGTGAACAGGACCTTTCGGTGGGATAATTGCAAGGAAAGCCGAAAAAGGCGATCCCTCAGCTCCGGATCATCGGTGATATTCAATATCTTGTGAACTATAGCCGCCGTATGATTGCTATGTACAATCGTTCGACTACTGGCTTCCACAATCAGTACTATAATTACTATATACCATATCAATTGCATGAGAAAGAAGGCAAAGAATTCATCTGTCTCGAAGACATCCAATCTTTTGGGATTCAAAATAGCTTCCAGTAAGTAAAAATCATCAAACAGAATGAATAGAAAAGATATGGCAATGATGCCAAGCAGCGGATAGGTAAAATACTCCTCAATGGTTTGACAAATATCGCAGAGAAGATTGTGTATATTGGAGACTTGCTTAATGGCATATTCCGGATTGAGACGTATTATAGAGGTAACACTGTACCGCTTCATGGGAGTGCTAATCAAATTTCTTAGGCGATGTGAGTATCTTCTATGATTCACCACCGAATGCATGGGGGAGAGTTCCAAGGCACTATACTGCTCAATGTGTGCATCCAAAATGTCCTGGAGGATCTGTAAGTATGCCATAATTAATACATAATTTGCACTTTTTAATAAATTAAGCTCTTTTAGCAGACAACTCACTTCATTCAACATGCTGAAACGACTTCTGGCCAAATCTGTGGTGCACAAAAACTTGAAGACCATCAAACTAATATTGATGTGCGGCAGGGCAAAGGTCGTAAAGGTCACAAACGAAGGCGAGATGGTGGCACTGACCAGCAGGCCATAGCTCACACACAAATAAATGACATTAAACAGGAGCATTCCCAAGGAGATCAGAAAGCTACAAAACAGTATCCTTCGGTAGTCCAGCTTCATGCCCAGCCTCACGAATATCTCATCCACCACGATGATGTTCTGGATGATGCTCACCAGGCGCTGCCTCTTGAACATGGCAAACCCAAAAATAGTGGACATGGCCAGGATGCCAGTCAGCCGAAGAGTTCCATCACCCAAACGTGTGATATTCGTTTGAAAAAAGTATCCTATTATGGAGTCTCCTTCCCTCACAGATATTCCAAAACACAAAACAAAGAACAGGAAGTGCACTATGCCGGCTATAAAGGAGTACGTTGATGTCTGTACCTCCTTCCGAGGATTCAAATTCAATCGAAAGGGAGCCAGGCCCAAAAGGGAGATATAAGTCAAGGGTCGAAGCGCCTGGAACACATTATCCGCTTGCGAAATGCGTTCCCACAACTTTAAAACCATTTTCGTTACAAGATTCTTCAAGAATAGCCGTATATATCTTGTTATAAATTCTATAGAGACACTTGAGTTATATATTTATATAGAGAGGTTTTGAATATTCCACCGACTAAAACGTCCACTCGATTCGCGTATTTAGCGCCAACTGACAGCGGAAGTCCTCGCTGGGTTCTTGTGACAATGATGATGATTGCCTTTGTGCCAACTGTAGACATGGCTGATATATCATATATCAAAATCGTTAAAGGGCTGTCTCACACACCTTCGCACACGTAATAAGCTAATACCGATACCGGCAAATATTTAATTAACCTTAAACGAGAAGGTGGCAGATAGATGGTGGACAAGGTCGTTTAACAAACATGGTTTAACGAGTTCAAAGGCCACTCTGTATTTTTTCGTGAATTTTAGTACTGTACTCTACTGTACTTGGCTATTAATTACAATTGGTAAACAATTTATGACAAGGCATTAAGTGGCCAAAAGTTGCCAATTTGTGGAAGTTCGTTTTTTTTTTGGGGTGCTTGGTATTAAGTAATTTGTTTGATGGTTATTGAGCTAAGTTAGAACAAGGAATATAAGTTCTTGTAACGCTAAATAAAATGAAATAATTAATAAATAATAAAAATTTGTAGACAGTTGTGTCAATGTAAATAAATATTTATTCAAAGACTTTATTCAATTATTAAATACATTTAATATAAAGCTTCCCACCTAGATTCTCTTGATAATCAAAGACTTTAACATCTTTAACGATTATTTCCATTTATTTCCAATCGTTGGCTTACATAGACATATATTAGGTACTTTTTGAAAGCAACAACAATAATAACATTTACAAAAAATACACATTCTGCTGGACGTATTTTATATCATTTCACCCGCTCCATTAACTTCACATCACTTCATCCATCTATATCCATCTATAGTGTATGATTCGTCATATTATTGTAGGTGTCGCAGCAGGAGGAACTATTTCCATAGCCATTGTTTGGGGAATTGGATGTGAATTGCAGCAAGATGATGAGATAGGTGGTCAAGGCACCACTGATCTGTTGCAAAGGATAATGTCATTTAAATATTAAAACAAGTTTGGTAAATATAATGAAGTAAGCCAACAGCACTCATTCTTTTGTGCAAGAAATGTGGCCTACTTTTTGGGGCTTGCAGACTATTATTATTTATCTTGTAAACATAATTATAAAATATTATAAAATATTAATAAATATAAACTCACCGTAAAATACAATGTGCGATCAATATTAAATAGTCCCGCAGCTGTAAAGTTAATTTTCAAATGCATTAATTGCATGGAAAATTGCTGTAGCTTTTCCTTGACCTCTGCACTTTTGGTTTTATTTAAAAGTGAGTGCACTATGCCACCAGTTTTCTCACTTTTCTTTATAGCTCGATTACTGCCCTCGACAATTGAAACTATGGCAATCAGGTACAAGATCATTTGGCAAGAGAAGAACGTTACAAATTCCACTGTCTTGAATTTACTTTCACGCTTCGATTTGCCCAGCAAAGTTTCCAGGACATAGTAAGCATCGAAAACGATGATGAGAAAAGCTATGGATATAATGGTCAATAGTTGATAGGTGAAATATTTGTTGGCCGTTGCAGCTGCTTCGCAAATCAAATGATGTATCTCCATGGATTCTTGAATAATCTCAGCAGGATCCTTGGTTACAATGGTGTACATAGAAAAGGAGTCCAGACACTGGAGTGATCGTTGCTTTTGGGTAACTGCCTTTATGGACCGTGAGTCCCATTGATGCGCAAGGTTTTTCAATACCTGTTAGAATATAAAAACAAGCAAGATATTAGTTTAAAATCTTTCAAATTTAATCTTATTCTAACCATATTCATAGCACTTAGATATATCCGTAGTTTGATGAGTAAATTTCCCGACAGGAAACAAACGCCACAGACTATATAATGGGGTGAAAAATAACTGATCAACGAGGATATCGAAAATGTTGCTGCATCCCTCAAACTGATTATTAGAAAGCTTCCAGTTATATAGGCAGTCGTAGTGCCTACTAAGAATATGAGTAAGCGATTCATTTTCTTTGCTGCTGGTAACTGATGTAGGGCCAAACCCACTCGCGGAAAAGCCTCACGTTCGAGAACATCATAAATTTCCATCACTTCCACAAGTTTCCTTCGCTTCAGCAGTGATATCAAAAGTATGACAAAGATGCCCAACATTCCGTTAATTTTCTGCAAACCATCTATCACATTGGATACATCCGTGAGAAAGAAGTTGGACATCAGGGAATTACGATCGATGGTGCTGTAGACGAAATTTCCCATATACATGACCATTCGGATGAGGATGTTCACATAGCCAAAATAGGAGGCTGTGAGCTGGCTTCTTCCTGAAGAGTTGTTCACATAATAAGGCACAATCCCAAGCCAAAGGCCCATGAACAGGGTTGTGCGGTAACAGGTGTAGACGTCGTGTGGACGGTACTTTTCAACCAATCGCCCGAAGAGCCACATGGCGTATGAGTAATTTTTGTTTGGGCATTGGACTTGCAACGCACAAAAGTAGGATAGGAATCTTTCCTAATGAATTAAAAAAGCTTGGGACAATAATCTTCAATGCAGTTAATTAAACAGACAGCTAAGGCTGTCAATAAAACCGAGTTGGAATGACTAAACATCAAAACGGGATATGGTTTAGTCACAGGAATGGAAATATTGTTTGAGAAACAGTAGTTCTATTATGAAAATTTAGAATATTAGTTGAGAAATATTAATTCAGTCCAAATAAATGTAAAAACTGTCTTCGAAATACTATATCTTAATACACAAATGATTATATTGGCTAAGAAATATATTTTATTTTGAAAATAAAATATAATAACAATATCTGAAATTTGGTAACTTAATTAATAACAGTAATTAATGAATACATTAAATTCTATAAAAATGAGCTCCTCCCTGTTTTTAATTTCCCTAAAGTAGTTTATAAAATTATCCTTTTCCATAACATTTACCTACCTGATTAAGCACATCAAAGTGCTGCCACAAACGATGTAAATTAGCTCCAAATAGCATCACAATGCTCAGTAAAAATATTTGAGGCACATAAAAAGCAACTGCCGCTGTATAAATGGGTCTCACATCATTTCCCAACAACATCCACATAGAGCTTATCAAGTAAGCCAATTGAACACTTGTTATTAGAAAGATTTTCAAATGTCTCAATCTCATAATGGCCGAGTAATTAAAGCAGACTCCCAAGTTCAGGAAACGATCGTCTATAAAGGATATTCGATCCCAAATCTGAATCAACGATCGAACTCGAATGCAGCTGCAGAGGAACAAGATGGACATTCCCGTCATTCCAATGAATTTTTGCAGAGAGTCTCCCACTTGGGAGATTTCCGATTTAAAAAAATATCCCACAATACTCTGCTGTTCGATTAAAGCCGAAAGGAAACAGTAACTGAAGAAACTCAACTGAATAAGGGCATTGACGTAACCGAATTTACTCAATTGAAACTGCCTTTCACCTGCCTGACCCCTCAAACGAAATGGGGTCAGACCCAATAAATATGTACAAAATAGTAAAGTTTGCTCTGCTCCAAAGGCATCCCGAGGACTAAACAATTCCCGATAGAAGTTCAACATTTTTGTTCCGTAAGAAATCTATTTCTTAATCGCACTAATCCTTTTGATTCCCTTGCATTTCCTTTTATAGCTTAACCCTGTAACTTCCTTCACTGATTAGTTTTTAAAGTATTTATGAGCCACACACCTTGCTGGTTGTCGTCATGGCTGGTTAAATATTATCCGTTTTGCAGCGATGACAGCTTGGTAATGGAAACCCGTCCATCACACACCGACAAAGTTCCCCTCTTTAATGACAGTTTATGAAATAATATAAAAGTCAGTCTGGTTTGGGAGTTGTTTTTGTCTCAGTTCGCGGGTTCGGTCACGGTCGGTCTTGGTGGCGGCTAATTAATTTAATTGAATCAACTGCGTTTAATTGAAAACACTTTAAAGGGTTGGTTAGAAAGAGCTAGGAGGCTAGTTCCAGTTGTTTAGTTGTTCTGAGAGTCCCTTGGGGACATATTATTAATTGCGACATTTTTTTAGGAGTACGAATCAAGGAGGAATTTATAGAATTACGATATAGTCACATATACAAGTGTCACTATTTGTATACCCTTAGTTGTAACCTACATGTATAAGCTTAGCCTAAGAATAAAGATAAGAAAGAAAGACATTGAAATAAAAGCTCGGATCTGGCAGTCGTGTACAGACCGCACAAGCAACAGATCGCTTTAAAAACGCATCTCCTTGAATTAAATTAAAAGTGATTTAATTATTGGAACTTAATCTTTGCGGAACCTAACTGGCAATTAGACTTGTAACAACGACTCGATCAAAACCGGCTAATCGAATTGGCTAAGAATGCCTTTCTACCCAAGTCGATACTCTCGAGAACATAAAGTGAGGGTGTCGCGTATAATGGGCCAAGCCGCGATCTAACTGGCGACGAGGATTTAAAAAACCACCGATTTTGGAATTAACATTTTTCCAAATTACCACGTGTATTTGAGTGCACATGATATTGCGTAATGCTCTGAGACAAGCGGCTCAAAAAAAAAAAATATTACACCAAGCTACACATACGTCATCCTTATCAGCAAACGACAAAGCTCTGTTTTTGGGCTCAACTTATCCACCGACTTTCGTTACGACGAGCTCTAGCAATTACCATCGTTGTCGACGTCATCATTTACGGGATCATCGATTTCGCATTATTTTGGGCATCGGAGGAGACAGCGCTGGCCAAAAAAAAAAAAAAAAAAAAAAAAATATTCTGAGAGGAACAGCGTCCGCCTAGGAATACTGGAGTCGTAAAATCGATCATCGTGTATTACTTTCTTTTCACGATCCATAAGTCTTTGTTAATCTTTAGTAAGTTCTAATTTTATTTTACATCCAATTCAAGAAAACTAGGCATTTAAAATGAATTCTGAAGTAACCGCATCATTTACTCTTTATTTAAATTGTATAAAAAATATCCAAGATTTTGATGGCTCAGATAAAAACCAGCTTCCCGACTTCATAAATCAAATCGACGTATTAATGCCATGTTTTCAAGCGTTCGACGCGCAATCGAGAAATGTCCTCTTTAACTATATAAAAAATAAATGTTGTGGATTAGTAAGACCCGTTTTGCATAGGTACGGAAACGTTACGACCTGGGAAAGACTAAAAGAAGTACTAATAAAACATTTTGGGGAAAAGGAAAGCAGCGACGAATTGATGGACGCATTAAAACTATGTAGAATAGAATCCACAATAGAGCAATATTACGACAAAATAAACGAAATTGCCAATAGACTGCACAATCGGATACTAACACACTCTGACGAGACGTATACCACCGAAGAAGTTAACAGAATTTCGCTTAGAGTATTTAGGGACAATCTTCCTGAGCCAACGAAAACAATGATTTTCGCCAGAAACCCTCCGTCATTGGATGACGCATACAAAATTATCGAAGATGCCCGTCATCAAAGTTATACCTTGTATGGACCAATTCGAAAACAATTTAGCAACAAACCTCCTTTTAGAAAATATTTCAGTAACGATAGTAACAATCGTAATGAAAGAAATCCAATTCGATACCATAATCAACCACAAGTAGAAGAAAATCCTGGCAGTTCTAACAGGCAAAATACAAATAGATATGAATATAGAACCAATTATAATAACAGTAACGCCGCAAATCCATCTAGTAATTCTAGAATGTCCTATAACACTATCCAGCCTCAACAGGTAGCTAGCCGTAACTCTCAACATAATAATTCAGTAGGCCAAATGGACGTAGGTCATATTAATGCAAATTTTCAATTAGGGGACCAGCAAGACTACCCTATATAAAACTACGATCATCCCAAAGAGACCTCCTATTCATTATCGACACTGGAGCGGAATTCAGTATCATTAATGAAAACATTTGTCACCCAAAATGGAAATCAAACATCGAAGTTCAAGTAAAAGCAATGGGAAACATTATTCAGATACAAAAACTATGTAGGTTTCCTTCATTTAAAGAATTTGGAACAAATAATTATTCGTGTGAGTTCTTGGAATACAACTTCCACGATATATTCGATGGCATAATAGGAGGCAACATATTAAATGATTTAAACGCAATAATAAACTATTCAGAACAGACGATTACTTTGAATAGTGTTAAACTAAACTTCTATACACAGCCCCCTAATATGTTAAATAGGCCGGAAGTGAACACTAGCCATAGCGTGTCGTTAGAATATCTCAATCCGATTTCTCAGAAACTACTTACTCCAGTTTTAAAACGATTTGAAGGTATATTTTATAAAGAAGGAGATAATTTAACCTTTACGAGTGCAGTTAAACACCAAATACATACCAAAAATGATATTCCTATCTATTCGAAAGCTTATAGGTATCCCGAGGCCCATAATACCGAAGTTAATAAACAAATATCCGATATGCTAAAACAAGGAATAATTAGACATTCGAATAGCCCGTACAACAGTCCCTTATGGGTTGTCCAAAAAAAATTTGACAAGTCAAATCAACCGAAATGGCGACTCGTAGTCGACTACAGAAAATTAAACTCGCAAACAATCGAAGATCGTTATCCTATTCCTAATATAGACGAGATATTTCATAAGCTGAACGGATGTAAAATATTTTCTTCCTTAGACCTAGCAAAGGGTTTCTATCAAATTGAAATGAGCGAGGGCGATATCCAAAAGACCGCATTTTCAACTGCTA